TTAGTTCAGGAAGAATCTGCATTCTGAAGGTGAATAGAAGTTCACACTACAGATGGGCAGACACATGCCCTCCCAATTCCTGATGGACCTCCTAGTGCCTCCTAGACCTAAGGGGTCTCCTGCAATGCTCCAAGATGCCACCAAGGCAGGGATCCACTTGTGCATGCCTGAGAGCATCCAGGATGAAGTGAGGCTCTGGAAAAATGCATGAGTTTCCACATAATCCCCAAAAACCTTACAGGTGAACTGGATGCCACAGAAACAGGAGTGGTCATTGACACAACAAAGTCACCAAAATTGTTTTGAAGTCAATTAGGAAACCCAGGAATCACTCTTGCTGTCATTAAGTGGAAGAACAGGAGCCTGTGAATGGCATCCATGTTCTGCCTGAGACTCCACAGATATTTCTCTGTGGCTTCAGGTACCAGGAATCTCCGTGATTTTCAGAAAGGCAGGGACAGCTTATGCCAGCCCATCCCTCTGCAGAATGTGCCCCAGCAGATCAGAGGCATGGAGACATCATGGACTGCACAAAGGCTCAAGGGCAGCTTCCCAGACCTGCCTGTGACTCTAGGTAAGTTCTGAGTCCACATGGGTGCCTAGGAGAGGTTAATGATGACGTGGAAAGATGGGACAAGCTGACACCACCCCTAAACAATCTGCAGGATTCCAACTTCAGCAGGAAGCCAAGGACCAGCTCAGGCCACACTAGTGCACCTTGAAAACCCCTGGATGCAAAGCCGCTCTGCAGAGAGTTCAACAAAGAAGTGGCTGGGAATTTTGCATTCTAGGCTGCATTTTACAGTGCTTCTGGACACGTGATCAGAAATTTAACATTGGTATATCTAACTCTGACATTTTTTATGAAATGGTTTTTTAAAATGAGGTAATATAGACAAAATGTAATATAACCATATGTATTATATGCCAAAATATGCTTCACTGGCATCAAGTAGACTCACCGTGAAATCGAATCTAGGACAACCTCCATCTACAGAATATTTTCTTTTCCAGAGTGAAACTCCCACCAAAAACCAACAAAATCACAGGTTTTCGACTCCAACAAACCGACAGAAAACCAATATATTTATTCTACCACCGTGAAATGGACTGCGGTGAAACACAGATGAAGAAAGTCAAAACCACTTTGTCCTTCAGTGCTTGACTCCTTCTCCACCTCCTCCTGTGACTCCAGGCATTATGCCTGAAGAGTCTCCAGGACACCGCTGGGGCTCTATTTCCTTGGGTCCCCTTGCCATTTCTCTGGATTTGCGAAGATCCAGCGGACTTTCTGTGGAACTCTCATGTCCGGGAACTTTGGTTGCATCTGCTGAAACTCCATTCCCCTTGGAATTGCGCTTCATTAATTATTCATGATTCAGGTGGGAACATCTGCTTACATCCCCCTGTGGCCGATCTCTGAGCTTTCCGGTCACATCGGTTCCTGCCACGCTCTTTGGTTCATTTTGGTCATGCTCCTTTTGCTGTCAGAGGAGCAGAGAGTTGATCTTGTTGATTCTGGATACTGATACTTTCTAGGTGATCTGGCTAATCAAGGTAACGACCCTCAACGGGGGCGGAAATGGAACAGCCATTTGGCGTCGCTCAGACAATCCCGCTCAGTTCCGAGGCCTCCTAGATGTGAAATCCTGGTCAGAATTGTTCCCAGGTCAGAGAACGGAGAGAGCCTGTGCATGATGGGATACCTTTGCCTAGAGCTTTCAGTGAGTCTCAACCTCAGCTACTCTTAGGATCAGGGGGAGAAGCGTGGAAAGGCCCGGTGCTCAGGCATCCGGAAAGAAGACAGGATGAATATTCTACCTCTGAAGTACATCCCAAATCTGGGAGTTTACTTCAGCTTTACTGGGTTCTACTTGGC